TCCAGCTCCCATCTCCTGGACAACCTTTCAAGAGTTTCCAGTCACCGACTCGTATAGCAGCTTGTCGGCAGTACTGATAAGATTCAATGCGAGAGTCCCAGTAGGTATCTATTGGGTCAATATTATGCAAGATCTCATTTCTAGGTGATGGTTTCCCATTACTCAACGTTTCCCAGACATTATAGCCATCAAGAGGTATGCCCTCAACAGAGCCCCCTGACAAGTGTACAATTGTCGGGTACCAGTCAGTGACATGGATCATCTCTGTGTTTATCTGCCCCGGTTTTGACAACAATTTGCTATAAACCAGACCCACCCCTCTCACTCCGCCTTCCCACAGCGAGCCTTTCCAGCCGCGTAAAGGCCAATTATTGCCACCTGCGTAGATCTGTCCACCATTGTCAGTACTGAAAAATAGTACCGTGTCATCCCACAAGCCATGATCCTTTAAAGCTTTTGTTATATTACCAATCCCTTCGTCCATGCAGGTCACCATGCCTGCATACGTTCGGCGAGCATGGTTCTTTATATCTTTGTACTGCTCGGTGTACTGTTCAGGTACCTCCAGCGGTGAATGAACGGCTTGGTACGCTACAAACAGAAACAAGGGTTTGTCTTCTTCGTGGGAAGAAATGATCTTTACTGCTTCGTCAGTGAATAAGAAAGTGGAATACTTCCCAGCAGCATCAGTTGCGACGTCTTCATTTCTTCGCAAGTCATACCCATTTAATTCCTCGTACTGCTTGCTTGGATACCCCACGCTATTCTTGTGTGAATAATAATCTTCTCCGCCGGTCAAATAGCCAAAGAACGAGTCGAATCCCCGCTGAGTTGGAATGAACTCTCGCTTGTAGAAACCGATATGCCACTTTCCAACCATGTGTGTACTGTAGCCATATTCTTTAAGCTTACTTGCAATTGTGGTATCATTCTTGGGAAGTGCATTGGCTTGGGAAGGCCAGATTATTCCGTGTTGCAGGCCAGTGTGGATTTGATATCTGCCGGAAAACAACTGACTTCGAGTTGGGGTGCAAATCGGCTGCACGTAATAGTTTTCCAGGCGCACTCCTGTAGCCGCTAAATTGTTAAGATTTGGCGTTTTTATGCGTGGATTATGATAGCCGACGTCGTTGAAACCATAATCATCTGCCAAAATAAAGACTATATGNACAACTTGAGGTTTTATGCACTACATAGGTTACATTTTCAAACGAAAATGAAAAAGATCTATACACTAAAATCTATTATCAACATTGCTGGAACATGTAGAAAACCAAAAAAAGTAATGATTTTGGGCAAAAAAATTCTCCCTTTGAAATACCTAATCACTTCTTATTGACCTATCTTTCCCGTTTAGACATAGCATTTTACATTTTTGAAGATTTGGAAATGTTCATAACAACATTAACCTATTGCATTACATTAAAAAATTATTATTAATAAAAATTTTACTGCATTTTAACTGTATGGACCAGCTCCTTGAAAAAAGTGGGGAAAAAAATGTAATCCTTATACTACAAAATATGCCTACCATTCACTCACTACAAGTAATAAAAAATTCCCAATACAAAGAATTTTGTTATCCTCTACAAGAATAACAGCAGCAACTTACTACAGTATTTACATAAGTGTTTTTATCTCACAACCCCTCTCCCCTTGGGTGTTGAATGTTACTACAGGCCCCTGTTTCTTAACCCCCTGGACCTGACCCTATTTTCTATCAAGTTTTATTATATCTCTTAGTTACTACGCATGCTGTGATTGGTCAGTTTAGCAGTTCGTATTCTACTATACAGCCTGCTTGTTTGCAAAATGTTTCTTAATTTTTGTCAGGTGTTCTTAACTTTTATAGCAAGTAAAAGTTTAAAGCTTTCTTTTACTTTTAATTGTGTAATAAAACATGCTAAAAACTTCAAATTGACTTCAATGTTTAGCTTTTAATATGGATCAGAAATTTAAAGCCATTCCGCCTGAATAAAAATCCTTCCCTGACCCGTCAGACACGCAGCAGAGATATAATAAAATCTTACTAACCTCGTCTTCACGCTCTGTATGTACTGTAAGTTATGGATCGCCCTTTGCTCTTAGCCCATAAATCAAAGTGGAAAAAAACTTGGTGCGTAACTTACAGTACAGACCTCGAAATCAGGTAGTAAAAGGTATTTGTTTATCAATTCAATTTAGTCCAATTTCCTTTCTATTGCTCCCAAGGTGTCCAAATATTTCCATGCAGCTCTGGTTTTGATGCAGGATCTGGATCAGGGTAACGTACTGGTACAGCCGTAGCATTGTATTCACTGAGTTTCTTCATCAAAAAGGACACCATATCTGGAAATACCTCAGATAGTTCATTTCTCTCTTCAGGGTCTTCTCTTATGTTGAAGAGGAAGGTGCTGTTGATGTTGTCCAAATAATTTGTTCCATGCTCAAAAGAATAGGAACTCTCTGGAGGAGGAATCCAGCTCCCATCTCCTGGACAACCTTTCAAGAGTTTCCAGTCACCGACTCGTATAGCAGCTTGTCGGCAGTACTGATAAGATTCAATGCGAGAGTCCCAGTAGGTATCTATTGGGTCAATATTATGCAAGATCTCATTTCTAGGTGATGGTTTCCCATTACTCAACGTTTCCCAGACATTATAGCCATCAAGAGGTATGCCCTCAACAGAGCCCCCTGACAAGTGTACAATTGTCGGGTACCAGTCAGTGACATGGATCATCTCTGTGTTTATCTGCCCCGGTTTTGACAACAATTTGCTATAAACCAGACCCACCCCTCTCACTCCGCCTTCCCACAGCGAGCCTTTCCAGCCGCGTAAAGGCCAATTATTGCCACCTGCGTAGATCTGTCCACCATTGTCAGTACTGAAAAATAGTACCGTGTCATCCCACAAGCCATGATCCTTTAAAGCTTTTGTTATATTACCAATCCCTTCGTCCATGCAGGTCACCATGCCTGCATACGTTCGGCGAGCATGGTTCTTTATATCTTTGTACTGCTCGGTGTACTGTTCAGGTACCTCCAGCGGTGAATGAACGGCTTGGTACGCTACAAACAGAAACAAGGGTTTGTCTTCTTCGTGGGAAGAAATGATCTTTACTGCTTCGTCAGTGAATAAGAAAGTGGAATACTTCCCAGCAGCATCAGTTGCGACGTCTTCATTTCTTCGCAAGTCATACCCATTTAATTCCTCGTACTGCTTGCTTGGATACCCCACGCTATTCTTGTGTGAATAATAATCTTCTCCGCCGGTCAAATAGCCAAAGAACGAGTCGAATCCCCGCTGAGTTGGAATGAACTCTCGCTTGTAGAAACCGATATGCCACTTTCCAACCATGTGTGTACTGTAGCCATATTCTTTAAGCTTACTTGCAATTGTGGTATCATTCTTGGGAAGTGCATTGGCTTGGGAAGGCCAGATTATTCCGTGTTGCAGGCCAGTGTGGATTTGATATCTGCCGGAAAACAACTGACTTCGAGTTGGGGTGCAAATCGGCTGCACGTAATAGTTTTCCAGGCGCACTCCTGTAGCCGCTAAATTGTTAAGATTTGGCGTTTTTATGCGTGGATTATGATAGCCGACGTCGTTGAAACCATAATCATCTGCCAAAATAAAGACTATATGCGGTGGTCTTCCCAAAACAATTTGCAAACAGGAAAACAAGGTTACAAGCCCCAAAGCCCTGACGCCCCCATTACGCGACATCTTCGCTTTTCTCCACTCAATACGCCGAATACGTATGCACGAATTGTCTCTTTCCTCTTGCATGACGGTAACACAGGTAAACAATATGGCGACAAATGACGGTTTCTTCTCTCATCGTTCTACCGACACAATGAGCGACCATCAAAGAAACGAGCATAATGCGCTTTCAAGCTCTCGCGGATGGGGTAAGCAAGCGGCTCAGAGACTCAATACAAAGGACCAATTCAAGAACGATCCACTTCTTAGGACTTTAGAAGGTAGAATCGCCGTGAATTTTGGTGACTACAAACCATGGCAACGGACAACTCTTTCCAGATTTCCGAAGGATGCACAGACTAGAAGGAGAAGTCCCAGTCGTCCTTTGTCTGGACTGACCACAGTTTCTGTTGGAAGTGGGCCCGGGTTACCCAGACAGGAATCATTTAGAATAGGAACCCGGCCATTCAGTGCAGCTACAAGCACAGCTTGCTCTACGGTTTGTAATCACCCATGGACCAAGAAACCACAACCAGTGGATGGTGTCGAGGCAAGACGGAAACAGAATGTGTTGTCAATATTAAAGGTATTTCTGGGTCAGGGCAATAGCTCAACCCAGAAAAGCTAAAGGAATATGTGTCAGTGGCATGATCTCACAAAAGTTTTGGCCTTTGTTACTGTTAATGCTGCATCCCCATATCCCTGTATAGGAAAGTCAACTCTGCAGGGTTCCAGATAATTTTTTAAAGGAGGGTGTCAATAAGGGATCACATTACTCCCACCAAGTCATTATAAATTTTCTATCAATTTGTCAGGTCACGTAGCTGACCTTGTCGGTTTTTTGAGCTGAGACCACTCAGTTATCTGGAACACTGCTCTGTGTCTTGTGGTTTTTTGTTTTGTAAAATACACACAAAAGCATGTATGAATAACAAAGGTTCCTTCGTCCAGTTAAAATACACACATCTGAAATTACACACAAATGCGTGTAGCTACAAGAACAGTAGATTTTACATGTGTGTAATTACACGCACCTTACACGCGCTGTCCTACCCTGTGAGCAGTTGGTTTCTACTTTGCCAAACAAGAAAGAAACCACTGTGAGCAACCGTCTGCTTTTGCATCGAGTATGAGCAAGTTTGTCACATCCCATGTGATGCATTTGATGTCAATTTCATTTGTCAATTGATTTTTCGCTGGAAGTCTTTGTACAAATGAATGCAAATTTCTCGCCAAAAGCACTGACCAAAGAACGATCCAAACCTTCGTATATATCTAGTTTCAACAGTTTTCAGATTTTCCGTAGCTTTCTAAGGAAATCTTAACATCATTTGCCCTGTTTCAAAAATTTCTAAATTTTTGTTCGAATGGAAAGGGCCCAAATTTTGCTCTATTTCTGCATTCTTGTTCCCAGAGCCTCCTGTTCCTCTTAGCTGGGAGGGCCTTGGTATGTGGATAAGGTGGCTCTGGACACAATTTATTTCATTAGCTAGGTTCTTGGACTATGATCTTTGCAGCTTTTTGAGAGGATAATGCTCAGATCTCAGGTTCTGGAGGAGGGGAATGGTGTCCCTGGATTTGCTTGAATTCTGGGGGACCAAAGTGATCCACTCTCTCTCCCTTCACTGTCCCCCCTAGCCAGCATAGCAAAAAAATAGAAAGAACCGTGGAAGGCATTGGGGAGGGAGGAAATGAATTTATTCATCCTCTCAGCTCCACGTAATGAAAAGCAACCTGTGCTGAATTGTATCACCCTGGTTAAATAAATATTACATTCCATTCCTTTAATTTCTGTTCATTTTTTTCTTACCCTTCCTCTCCCTCTTCCAAATATGCCTACATGTTTCCTTGTAGAGAAGGCAACCTCTGACCATCCGCTAAAGGCCGCCTACCAAATCATGCTTTGACTGAGTGTCTAAATTGTCTTTCTTGTTATAGCATTTAAGGAGCCTCTGCAGCTCTGTCTTTTCCTTTCATGCAGCAACAGAGGAGGGTACCAAATGAACTGTGGTGACGTGTGTGTGTAATACAAAAAGAAAACTAAGCCTTAGTGTTCAAATTCTATGAACTTGTTCTTTGGCCATAGAAGTTTAATTAAGCACAGTTAAACAAAAATAGTGTTAATACACAGGGTAAACAAAACATCTTGTCAAACAACTTGAGGTTTTATGCACTACATAGGTTACATTTTCAAACGAAAATGAAAAAGATCTATACACTAAAATCTATTATCAACATTGCTGGAACATGTAGAAAACCAAAAAAAGTAATGATTTTGGGCAAAAAAATTCTCCCTTTGAAATACCTAATCACTTCTTATTGACCTATCTTTCCCGTTTAGACATAGCATTTTACATTTTTGAAGATTTGGAAATGTTCATAACAACATTAACCTATTGCATTACATTAAAAAATTATTATTAATAAAAATTTTACTGCATTTTAACTGTATGGACCAGCTCCTTGAAAAAAGTGGGGAAAAAAATGTAATCCTTATACTACAAAATATGCCTACCATTCACTCACTACAAGTAATAAAAAATTCCCAATACAAAGAATTTTGTTATCCTCTACAAGAATAACAGCAGCAACTTACTACAGTATTTACATAAGTGTTTTTATCTCACAACCCCTCTCCCCTTGGGTGTTGAATGTTACTACAGGCCCCTGTTTCTTAACCCCCTGGACCTGACCCTATTTTCTATCAAGTTTTATTATATCTCTTAGTTACTACGCATGCTGTGATTGGTCAGTTTAGCAGTTCGTATTCTACTATACAGCCTGCTTGTTTGCAAAATGTTTCTTAATTTTTGTCAGGTGTTCTTAACTTTTATAGCAAGTAAAAGTTTAAAGCTTTCTTTTACTTTTAATTGTGTAATAAAACATGCTAAAAACTTCAAATTGACTTCAATGTTTAGCTTTTAATATGGATCAGAAATTTAAAGCCATTCCGCCTGAATAAAAATCCTTCCCTGACCCGTCAGACACGCAGCAGAGATATAATAAAATCTTACTAACCTCGTCTTCACGCTCTGTATGTACTGTAAGTTATGGATCGCCCTTTGCTCTTAGCCCATAAATCAAAGTGGAAAAAAACTTGGTGCGTAACTTACAGTACAGACCTCGAAATCAGGTAGTAAAAGGTATTTGTTTATCAATTCAATTTAGTCCAATTTCCTTTCTATTGCTCCCAAGGTGTCCAAATATTTCCATGCAGCTCTGGTTTTGATGCAGGATCTGGATCAGGGTAACGTACTGGTACAGCCGTAGCATTGTATTCACTGAGTTTCTTCATCAAAAAGGACACCATATCTGGAAATACCTCAGATAGTTCATTTCTCTCTTCAGGGTCTTCTCTTATGTTGAAGAGGAAGGTGCTGTTGATGTTGTCCAAATAATTTGTTCCATGCTCAAAAGAATAGGAACTCTCTGGAGGAGGAATCCAGCTCCCATCTCCTGGACAACCTTTCAAGAGTTTCCAGTCACCGACTCGTATAGCAGCTTGTCGGCAGTACTGATAAGATTCAATGCGAGAGTCCCAGTAGGTATCTATTGGGTCAATATTATGCAAGATCTCATTTCTAGGTGATGGTTTCCCATTACTCAACGTTTCCCAGACATTATAGCCATCAAGAGGTATGCCCTCAACAGAGCCCCCTGACAAGTGTACAATTGTCGGGTACCAGTCAGTGACATGGATCATCTCTGTGTTTATCTGCCCCGGTTTTGACAACAATTTGCTATAAACCAGACCCACCCCTCTCACTCCGCCTTCCCACAGCGAGCCTTTCCAGCCGCGTAAAGGCCAATTATTGCCACCTGCGTAGATCTGTCCACCATTGTCAGTACTGAAAAATAGTACCGTGTCATCCCACAAGCCATGATCCTTTAAAGCTTTTGTTATATTACCAATCCCTTCGTCCATGCAGGTCACCATGCCTGCATACGTTCGGCGAGCATGGTTCTTTATATCTTTGTACTGCTCGGTGTACTGTTCAGGTACCTCCAGCGGTGAATGAACGGCTTGGTACGCTACAAACAGAAACAAGGGTTTGTCTTCTTCGTGGGAAGAAATGATCTTTACTGCTTCGTCAGTGAATAAGAAAGTGGAATACTTCCCAGCAGCATCAGTTGCGACGTCTTCATTTCTTCGCAAGTCATACCCATTTAATTCCTCGTACTGCTTGCTTGGATACCCCACGCTATTCTTGTGTGAATAATAATCTTCTCCGCCGGTCAAATAGCCAAAGAACGAGTCGAATCCCCGCTGAGTTGGAATGAACTCTCGCTTGTAGAAACCGATATGCCACTTTCCAACCATGTGTGTACTGTAGCCATATTCTTTAAGCTTACTTGCAATTGTGGTATCATTCTTGGGAAGTGCATTGGCTTGGGAAGGCCAGATTATTCCGTGTTGCAGGCCAGTGTGGATTTGATATCTGCCGGAAAACAACTGACTTCGAGTTGGGGTGCAAATCGGCTGCACGTAATAGTTTTCCAGGCGCACTCCTGTAGCCGCTAAATTGTTAAGATTTGGCGTTTTTATGCGTGGATTATGATAGCCGACGTCGTTGAAACCATAATCATCTGCCAAAATAAAGACTATATGCGGTGGTCTTCCCAAAACAATTTGCAAACAGGAAAACAAGGTTACAAGCCCCAAAGCCCTGACGCCCCCATTACGCGACATCTTCGCTTTTCTCCACTCAATACGCCGAATACGTATGCACGAATTGTCTCTTTCCTCTTGCATGACGGTAACACAGGTAAACAATATGGCGACAAATGACGGTTTCTTCTCTCATCGTTCTACCGACACAATGAGCGACCATCAAAGAAACGAGCATAATGCGCTTTCAAGCTCTCGCGGATGGGGTAAGCAAGCGGCTCAGAGACTCAATACAAAGGACCAATTCAAGAACGATCCACTTCTTAGGACTTTAGAAGGTAGAATCGCCGTGAATTTTGGTGACTACAAACCATGGCAACGGACAACTCTTTCCAGATTTCCGAAGGATGCACAGACTAGAAGGAGAAGTCCCAGTCGTCCTTTGTCTGGACTGACCACAGTTTCTGTTGGAAGTGGGCCCGGGTTACCCAGACAGGAATCATTTAGAATAGGAACCCGGCCATTCAGTGCAGCTACAAGCACAGCTTGCTCTACGGTTTGTAATCACCCATGGACCAAGAAACCACAACCAGTGGATGGTGTCGAGGCAAGACGGAAACAGAATGTGTTGTCAATATTAAAGGTATTTCTGGGTCAGGGCAATAGCTCAACCCAGAAAAGCTAAAGGAATATGTGTCAGTGGCATGATCTCACAAAAGTTTTGGCCTTTGTTACTGTTAATGCTGCATCCCCATATCCCTGTATAGGAAAGTCAACTCTGCAGGGTTCCAGATAATTTTTTAAAGGAGGGTGTCAATAAGGGATCACATTACTCCCACCAAGTCATTATAAATTTTCTATCAATTTGTCAGGTCACGTAGCTGACCTTGTCGGTTTTTTGAGCTGAGACCACTCAGTTATCTGGAACACTGCTCTGTGTCTTGTGGTTTTTTGTTTTGTAAAATACACACAAAAGCATGTATGAATAACAAAGGTTCCTTCGTCCAGTTAAAATACACACATCTGAAATTACACACAAATGCGTGTAGCTACAAGAACAGTAGATTTTACATGTGTGTAATTACACGCACCTTACACGCGCTGTCCTACCCTGTGAGCAGTTGGTTTCTACTTTGCCAAACAAGAAAGAAACCACTGTGAGCAACCGTCTGCTTTTGCATCGAGTATGAGCAAGTTTGTCACATCCCATGTGATGCATTTGATGTCAATTTCATTTGTCAATTGATTTTTCGCTGGAAGTCTTTGTACAAATGAATGCAAATTTCTCGCCAAAAGCACTGACCAAAGAACGATCCAAACCTTCGTATATATCTAGTTTCAACAGTTTTCAGATTTTCCGTAGCTTTCTAAGGAAATTTTAACATCATTTGCCCTGTTTCAAAAATTTCTAAATTTTTGTTCGAATGGAAAGGGCCCAAATTTTGCTCTATTTCTGCATTTTTGTTCCCAGAGCCTCCTGTTCCTCTTAGCTGGGAGGGCCTTGGTATGTGGATAAGGTGGCTCTGGACACAATTTATTTCATTAGCTAGGTTCTTGGACTATGATCTTTGCAGCTTTTTGAGAGGATAATGCTCAGATCTCAGGTTCTGGAGGAGGGGAATGGTGTCCCTGGATTTGCTTGAATTCTGGGGGACCAAAGTGATCCACTCTCTCTCCCTTCACTGTCCCCCCTAGCCAGCATAGCAAAAAAATAGAAAGAACCGTGGAAGGCATTGGGGAGGGAGGAAATGAATTTATTCATCCTCTCAGCTCCACGTAATGAAAAGCAACCTGTGCTGAATTGTATCACCCTGGTTAAATAAATATTACATTCCATTCCTTTAATTTCTGTTCATTTTTTTCTTACCCTTCCTCTCCCTCTTCCAAATATGCCTACATGTTTCCTTGTAGAGAAGGCAACCTCTGACCATCCGCTAAAGGCCGCCTACCAAATCATGCTTTGACTGAGTGTCTAAATTGTCTTTCTTGTTATAGCATTTAAGGAGCCTCTGCAGCTCTGTCTTTTCCTTTCATGCAGCAACAGAGGAGGGTACCAAATGAACTGTGGTGACGTGTGTGTGTAATACAAAAAGAAAACTAAGCCTTAGTGTTCAAATTCTATGAACTTGTTCTTTGGCCATAGAAGTTTAATTAAGCACAGTTAAACAAAAATAGTGTTAATACACAGGGTAAACAAAACATCTTGTCAAACAACTTGAGGTTTTATGCACTACATAGGTTACATTTTCAAACGAAAATGAAAAAGATCTATACACTAAAATCTATTATCAACATTGCTGGAACATGTAGAAAACCAAAAAAAGTAATGATTTTGGGCAAAAAAATTCTCCCTTTGAAATACCTAATCACTTCTTATTGACCTATCTTTCCCGTTTAGACATAGCATTTTACATTTTTGAAGATTTGGAAATGTTCATAACAACATTAACCTATTGCATTACATTAAAAAATTATTATTAATAAAAATTTTACTGCATTTTAACTGTATGGACCAGCTCCTTGAAAAAAGTGGGGAAAAAAATGTAATCCTTATACTACAAAATATGCCTACCATTCACTCACTACAAGTAATAAAAAATTCCCAATACAAAGAATTTTGTTATCCTCTACAAGAATAACAGCAGCAACTTACTACAGTATTTACATAAGTGTTTTTATCTCACAACCCCTCTCCCCTTGGGTGTTGAATGTTACTACAGGCCCCTGTTTCTTAACCCCCTGGACCTGACCCTATTTTCTATCAAGTTTTATTATATCTCTTAGTTACTACGCATGCTGTGATTGGTCAGTTTAGCAGTTCGTATTCTACTATACAGCCTGCTTGTTTGCAAAATGTTTCTTAATTTTTGTCAGGTGTTCTTAACTTTTATAGCAAGTAAAAGTTTAAAGCTTTCTTTTACTTTTAATTGTGTAATAAAACATGCTAAAAACTTCAAATTGACTTCAATGTTTAGCTTTTAATATGGATCAGAAATTTAAAGCCATTCCGCCTGAATAAAAATCCTTCCCTGACCCGTCAGACACGCAGCAGAGATATAATAAAATCTTACTAACCTCGTCTTCACGCTCTGTATGTACTGTAAGTTATGGATCGCCCTTTGCTCTTAGCCCATAAATCAAAGTGGAAAAAAACTTGGTGCGTAACTTACAGTACAGACCTCGAAATCAGGTAGTAAAAGGTATTTGTTTATCAATTCAATTTAGTCCAATTTCCTTTCTATTGCTCCCAAGGTGTCCAAATATTTCCATGCAGCTCTGGTTTTGATGCAGGATCTGGATCAGGGTAACGTACTGGTACAGCCGTAGCATTGTATTCACTGAGTTTCTTCATCAAAAAGGACACCATATCTGGAAATACCTCAGATAGTTCATTTCTCTCTTCAGGGTCTTCTCTTATGTTGAAGAGGAAGGTGCTGTTGATGTTGTCCAAATAATTTGTTCCATGCTCAAAAGAATAGGAACTCTCTGGAGGAGGAATCCAGCTCCCATCTCCTGGACAACCTTTCAAGAGTTTCCAGTCACCGACTCGTATAGCAGCTTGTCGGCAGTACTGATAAGATTCAATGCGAGAGTCCCAGTAGGTATCTATTGGGTCAATATTATGCAAGATCTCATTTCTAGGTGATGGTTTCCCATTACTCAACGTTTCCCAGACATTATAGCCATCAAGAGGTATGCCCTCAACAGAGCCCCCTGACAAGTGTACAATTGTCGGGTACCAGTCAGTGACATGGATCATCTCTGTGTTTATCTGCCCCGGTTTTGACAACAATTTGCTATAAACCAGACCCACCCCTCTCACTCCGCCTTCCCACAGCGAGCCTTTCCAGCCGCGTAAAGGCCAATTATTGCCACCTGCGTAGATCTGTCCACCATTGTCAGTACTGAAAAATAGTACCGTGTCATCCCACAAGCCATGATCCTTTAAAGCTTTTGTTATATTACCAATCCCTTCGTCCATGCAGGTCACCATGCCTGCATACGTTCGGCGAGCATGGTTCTTTATATCTTTGTACTGCTCGGTGTACTGTTCAGGTACCTCCAGCGGTGAATGAACGGCTTGGTACGCTACAAACAGAAACAAGGGTTTGTCTTCTTCGTGGGAAGAAATGATCTTTACTGCTTCGTCAGTGAATAAGAAAGTGGAATACTTCCCAGCAGCATCAGTTGCGACGTCTTCATTTCTTCGCAAGTCATACCCATTTAATTCCTCGTACTGCTTGCTTGGATACCCCACGCTATTCTTGTGTGAATAATAATCTTCTCCGCCGGTCAAATAGCCAAAGAACGAGTCGAATCCCCGCTGAGTTGGAATGAACTCTCGCTTGTAGAAACCGATATGCCACTTTCCAACCATGTGTGTACTGTAGCCATATTCTTTAAGCTTACTTGCAATTGTGGTATCATTCTTGGGAAGTGCATTGGCTTGGGAAGGCCAGATTATTCCGTGTTGCAGGCCAGTGTGGATTTGATATCTGCCGGAAAACAACTGACTTCGAGTTGGGGTGCAAATCGGCTGCACGTAATAGTTTTCCAGGCGCACTCCTGTAGCCGCTAAATTGTTAAGATTTGGCGTTTTTATGCGTGGATTATGATAGCCGACGTCGTTGAAACCATAATCATCTGCCAAAATAAAGACTATATGCGGTGGTCTTCCCAAAACAATTTGCAAACAGGAAAACAAGGTTACAAGCCCCAAAGCCCTGACGCCCCCATTACGCGACATCTTCGCTTTTCTCCACTCAATACGCCGAATACGTATGCACGAATTGTCTCTTTCCTCTTGCATGACGGTAACACAGGTAAACAATATGGCGACAAATGACGGTTTCTTCTCTCATCGTTCTACCGACACAATGAGCGACCATCAAAGAAACGAGCATAATGCGCTTTCAAGCTCTCGCGGATGGGGTAAGCAAGCGGCTCAGAGACTCAATACAAAGGACCAATTCAAGAACGATCCACTTCTTAGGACTTTAGAAGGTAGAATCGCCGTGAATTTTGGTGACTACAAACCATGGCAACGGACAACTCTTTCCAGATTTCCGAAGGATGCACAGACTAGAAGGAGAAGTCCCAGTCGTCCTTTGTCTGGACTGACCACAGTTTCTGTTGGAAGTGGGCCCGGTTTACCAAGACAGGAATCATTTAAAATAGGACCCCGGCCATTCAGTGCAGCTACAAGCACAGCTTGCTCTACGGTTTGTAATCACCCATGGACCAAAAAACCACAACCAGTGGATGATGTCGAGGAAAAACGGAAACAGAATGTGTTGTCAGTATTAAAGGTATTTCTTGATCAGGGCAATAGCTCAACTCAGAAAAGCTATGGGATTTTGTTACTGTTGATGCTGCGTCAACTCTGTAGGTGTAAGTTAGGAATGTTATTGTACTCATGGAGTGATGGACTGTGAGCAGTCTCTTGTTTCCTCGAAAATCCATGGGGAAGAATGCAAAACAAGTAATTGCGCGAGCGTGACATGTGAGTGGTGATGCCGCGAGCCGCTGGTGGTGTGGGCATCAGAAGATGAGGGAAAAGAAAGAGAAAAGTGTTAGGTCTCCTCAGTCAGATTCAGAATCATGGCAGATTAGTTTGGAATTCAATTGTAGAATCCTGGGGCACTAGACAATTGAACACGAACAGATCACCCTGAGATGGGGCAATCGAATTACATTTATTGTGGGGTTCTGTCAACTGGTATGCAATTTAAGCAAAATAAGGTCGCCATGATCTTTATCAGAGTATAAAGCCTACAAATGGTTTTATTCCGTTTCGTTGAGATAGTCCTTTACTATACCCACCCTACCAGTGTTCTACTACAGTGAGTTAAGATGGACTTAAACTTGTTAACTAAACATATGTGTATTGCCTTCTCTGTCTTAGATTCAGATTAAAACAAGACAGAAGTCAATAGCGGAATATGAAAATAGAAAGAAAGAGTTGTATCCTTTCTGTAGCTGAGTTATACTAATTTATTGTACGCCACATCTGAGCTACAGTTACAGGTAACTACAGGTACTGGAAGCTAAACAGGGAGTCTGGGGTGGATACAGGAGTTAAAGATACAGAGATATAGATATTTTTGTAATTTCCCATACATTTGGCTGTAAATGTTTTTTCCCCGCGAAATGCATCTACCCAGCCAAATTTACAGACAAATATATGGGAAATTAGAAAAATTAAGTGAGAGTCTTGTAACCAAGCTACATCCTTCAAACTTGGTGAATACAATCTTCCACCTAGTAAATAACATTGCGAATCACAAATTGGGTAAAATTCGATTTTGCAAAAAGTTATTTGCAATCGGATGAATTCCCATACAAACACTGTAATTTCTGACCACTTTGCCTACCCACCAAGATGGTGTTGAAAACCATGATAAGGTCTATTGAGGTCCTTCAATCAATCTTTATTTGCACTCTCACTCTTGCTCAAAAATAAGAAATTACAACAATAGCCTTTTTGAGTCCAAGTCAGCATGTTATAATGTCACATGATCATTCCTTCTCCCGAACCCCACCCAGATCCACCTCAGGGAGTTTCTGGAGGGATATCTAGTGAGGGGTTCAACCCCTAAGAAACCTTCCTGTGGTAAGGGAATATTCTGTGGAACAAGACAATGAACTATTAGTGTCCTCCTTAACTATTTCATTAGACTTTTAGAAAACATGAAGATTACAGATCAAATGGAATCATCTGAAAACAATATTGTGAGTTAAAGCACTGTTCCATTTGTATATTAGTTATAATTATTTAATTGCTGACAGTTGTCAGAAGTCAGAATATGACCCAGCATTTTCTTGATCCAGGTCATTCGTTTCTATAGCGTACACAATAGATGACAAGTGAACCTGCACAATATCTCAGGTTACAATTCTGTAAGCGATATCAGCATTGCATATTGTAGGGTTCTGAACAAGACAAATGAATTAATGAGGCCCTTTCAGGGTTTCAGGATTAGAGATTATTAGAGTCATTAAGTAAATTTTCCCTGTCATCCATCTTACGTCAAAGGGATCTTATTTTCTGGTTCACATTACATGTAAGTAACATTTTATTACATATTTCCTGCAGCCTGTGCAAAGTGGAGATCTAGACATTCCAGGGGATCCATGTTGAAACCTGAAGATTTACTGTTAAGCATAAGTTATATTAAATTTGTACATGTAGTGTTCGGCAAGAAATCAAAGATATTTAACTGAAATGTCATTCAGTGTAAAACTCTGTGAGAATACCATAATCTCTGAGAGGACACCAGGCAAATCTTATCTAGAGTCATTACTATTCTGACTCACAGAGCTTGAATTTTATAGTTTCACCTATAGTAAGCAAAATTCCCAGGTCCACTTTAATGTGACATTGGTCTAGATAGATGATGGATGTTTTTTTTTTCAGCATGGTGACGTAAAATCACTACTACAGAAGTATGAACGATATAGGGTAAGTTAGTTTCTTCTCAAGTGACTATTTGATGAAATTTCCCAAGTTGTTTATCAGTGTCTTTGAAACAATCAGGGAGTTTTTGCCCTTTTACATCTTTTGCCTAGCTGACACATTCAATATTTTGACTGTTTTTGAAACAGGGTGCTATGTCAACATTAAGTAAGAAGTTTAGTGAGGATCTTGTTATCACAAAGAAAAGGCTAGCAGAAACAGAAGCACTAGTTAATAAAGAAATTGAAGGTATACCTCATTATATGTTTAATTTCATGGTAATACAAAGCTGGATGATTTGTTGATTAAGAACTAAATAATGTTTATTACAGTTGAACCTCTATTAAGAGGCCAGTTATCAAAGTCCCAAAATTATGTCAATGACATATTGTAAGTAAAACCCCTATTAACCGGC